TGAAGGAAACTAGAGCTCTGTTTGCCAATGTGATTTGGGTCACTGTTTCGAAGGAACTCAACACCACCAAAGTGCAGCAGGTCATTGCAAATGCTCTGAATATTGCATCTCTTCCGGAACCTGAACAAGAACGAGAACGTGTAGCAGTATTAATGGAAGAATTGGGAAAAAGAAGATATGTATTGATTTTAGATGATGTTTGGGAAAAGTTCTCTCTCTTGGCGTTAGGGATCCCTCAACCAACTTCGAGAAATGGGAGTAAATTAGTATTAACTAGTAGATCTATTGATGTTTGTGTGTCTATGGGCTATAAGATAGTTAAAGTACAACCACTTTCAAATGAGGAGTCCATGAATTTATTCTTAGAGCATGTTGGACGTGGGGTTTTAGAAGTTCCATCTTTAAAAGAAATTTTGGCCATATTGTTCAGGAGTGTGATGGGTTACCCCTTGCCATTGTTGTCCTAGCTGGGAGTATGAAGGGAATATATGATGTCCATGAATGGAGGAATGCATTAAGAGAGTTACGTGAACATATAAGAAGTGTGAAGGGCACAGAAGAGGAAATATACGAGCGATTAAAATTCAGTTATGATCGTTTGGGAGATTCACAAATCCAAAACTGTTTTCTGTATTGCTCATTATATCCAGAAGACTTTGTAATTTCAAGGCGGAATTAATAGAATACTGGATAGATGACGGATTTCTTGGAATTGGGAGTCGACAAGAACTCTATGATAGGGGTCATACTATATTAAATAGGCTGGAAAACAATTGTTTGTTGGAAAAGGTTGATGATGGAAATGTGAAGATGCACGATGTATTGAGAGATATGGCATTGTATATCAAAGATCGTAGACGTTTTATGGTAAAAGCTGGCCTGGGATTGAGAGAATTACCAAGCAAGCAAGAATGGGCAGCAGATCTTGAAAAAGTTTCATTGATGAGGAATGACATATCGGAATTTCCTCGGACTTGTCACCCAATTGTAAGATTCTTTCAACTTTATTGTTGCAAGAAAATAAGAATTACAGCGGATTCCAGAATTGTTCTTTCAGCATATGCATGGACTCTGCATTCTCGATCTTTCTTATACCAATATTGAGCAACTGCCCGATTCTGTGTCGAACTTGGAAAAGCTCAATGCATTGGTGCTTTTTGGATGTTACAAGTTGAGATATGTGCCTTCATTAGAAAAGCTTAAGGCTCTGAGAAAGTTGGACCTCTGTTATACAGCTATTGAAAAGGTGCCTGATGGTTTGGAAATGTTAGTAAATCTAACATATCTTAATTTATATGCAGAATGCTTAAAGGAACTTCCAATTGCAATTCTACCTAAGCTTTCTTGTCTGCAGTATTTGGTATTGTACGTTGAATCAAGTACTTTAAAAATTAATGGATCGGATGCTGCCAGATTAACAAAGCTGGAGTATGTTTGAAGGGAGATTTAATGAGTTGATGGACTTTAATACGTACAGCAAGTCTATACAAGGTCAAAGGCGTACTTCTTACTTGCTTGTTATGGCACCATTCGAAGCAAGTTTTGATGCCACGACACTTGAAGTGGAACGCTCATCTCTTACTTATGCTTTCAGGCTCGTAAGCTGCAACGAACTCAACCACACTAAAGCACTAAAAACCTTGGAGAGCATAACAGGTACTGATCAAATAAAATCTTTAAAATTTTACTAGATTAATTCCCTAATTATAATTAAGTGTCCATATCCACATTCCTTTTCATCATGGAATTTTGTGTTGAATAATTTTATAACGAGTAAATTACACATATGATATTAGAACTATACCAAAATGATAATTTGGTACTCAACTAAAAAATGTTGCAATTAGCCCCTTGAACTTTCAAAATATATATCAATTTAGTGAATCCAACCTTCTTATGTTACATCAAAATTGGTTTTCAACATTTCATAATCGCTTTTAAAGAAAATAAAACGTGAAGATAGCTTATAGAAATTTAAAATCAGTTTTAGTATATGAACGAATCCCAACTATTAGTTTAATTCGTTTCCTAATATTTCCTATAAAACTCAATTGCAACCAAATACACCCACATAGTTGCCAACAATTAACCTACCTCCATTCTCATTAAAATTAGTTTAATCTTTTGTTTTGATTTTATTTCTTTTTCATCTTGGGTTTTCTTGTGATTATATGTTTGATAAAAGACTCAAAAAAGACTGTATTTGATGATATTTCATGCCTTAAGTTTGATGGTTAGTAAAAAGAATAGAAATATAATAATATTTAAAAATAATAATAATACTAGATTAATTTTTTGATACATTAACTAAGATTAAAATGCTTTTCATGAGGATTGATTCGATGTTGATGAGTACATAGTATTTATCACCTGCTTTTCAAAAATTATGATGTGATATTAATTCAAAGGGTGCCTAAAAGCGCACTTTAAGATAATTTTAATATACTTTAAACTCGAGATAAAAATAAATAGATAGATATAAAAAGATATATAGAGGGAAAGAGACACAATAAAAATTAAGGATAAATTTGTTAAATTTAAAATTTAATTATTTACAATTTTGTTGTACTTTTTATATATGAAAGTGATACACTACTGACAGTGATGATTAGTTATGTCTGTACTTGTACGCTAGAATAATTGTCATATCAGAAATTGAGTTTGAATATTTGGGCATAAATTTAACTTTTATGTTATTTTTTATTGGTGAAGGTAAGAAATATGTGGCCTTCGAAGGGGCTGGAAAAAGAACTGATGAGAGTGGTTGGAGCGGTGGATCCTACTGAAATTGTAAAGAAAATGGCAAAGATAGGTGTCAAGGCTCTCCGGCTGAAGCTTCCATATCTTCTGCCCAAGAAAGATGTGATTTTAAGTGGGTGCCCGATAGGAAGAGAAGATCCTGTTAGCACTCCCAAGTGACCTTAGGTGCCTAAGAATTTTTGAGTGCCACAATGTGAGAAGCTTAAGCGACATTTCCTTCTTCCAACAAACAAATGAGTTGAGGTTCTGTTCAATTCATGATTGTAGAGGGATAGAATCTGTGCTTGACTTATCATCATCGCCCTCACCATGCACCCCATTTCAGAACCTTGAGCTCTTGTGGCTTGAGAAATTGGATAACCTGCGTATGCTTGTTAAAGTAGAAGAAGCATGTGTTGTTTCTAGGTCGAGTTCACTCATGCCTCTGCCAGGGGTCTTTTGCCATCTTAAATCATTTCAAATTGAAGGATGCTCTAACATGAAACAGCTCTTTCCATTTGAGTTACGACACGGCCTCCAAAACCTGGAGAAGCTGGTAGTTGATAATTGTGGACAAATGAAGGAAATAATAGCATCAGAAGAAGAAGAAGAAAATGGCAAGGGAAAAGGAACGTATTCCCCCACCATGTTCACTCTTCCCAAATTAATGATGTTGGAATTGAAGAACTTACCAGAGCTAAAGAGCATCTGTAGTTCTAATAGCGTAATGACATGCGACTCTCTTCAGGATATTGAAGTATGGAAATGTCCGAATCTAAAAAGGATGCCTCTATATCTTCCTATTTTCCAAGACAATGACCAACAAGCTTCTCATCCTTTCAAGAGAATTCGCGTATATCCAAAGGAATGGTGGAAATCAGTAGAATGGGACTATCCGAGTGCCAAAAATGTTCTGCAACCTTGGTTGGTACTGGGATGAAGCGAAGAGCTGCTGGAAGCCATTCAAATCAAATTCCTCAAGCTAAAACAGTGAGTTTTCATTTGTTTCTGTTTTGGAAATTTTTGAAGATTTTTTATCAACTAAAAAGGCTATTAAGATAGGAAGAATAGAAACCAAAGCAGTCAGCAAATAAAGTTTACGGATGTTAAAAATAAATGTAGATCAATTTGCTAAAACCTTCAAATCAAGAGTCAAGACCCTAACTTTACTAGAAATAGAGTTATTAGCAAAGTTTAAGAGGGCTCCTTAGACACTCTCTGTTGTCATCGGTAGGCTATTAGGTTGAGGATAGTTCATTGGTTTCAATTCCCAAAATATCTCATTTTGTTTCAATATTGTTTTATCCCAACGTTAGGATTGCCCCAGTACCCTTAAATTCTTATTACTCTGATGAGCTTAGTGATTAGAATGAATGGAAGCAAGCTGTTTAATTTGATGCTAAGCCCCTTCTTCTTCTTTGAAACTGCAAGCTTTACATATTTTCTCCAATCCTTTTTACAGTCTTACAATTCTTTTATTAGCTTGTTCTGTTAATGTTATTCTTGTTTGCTTAGATCATTATTGAATTTTCCTTTTGTGGGTTCTTATATATAGGTGTGTTGACATTCTGAAGCTAGCAAAGCAGCTGACAATTTAATCTCGGAGAAACTCATCAATGAGGGTTCATTAATTCTTCTGTTGTGCCTCTATCTGTGATGTGGTATTTTCATCGGATGGATTCGTTCTTTTGTTGGTTTTATTTGTGATAAAGTTCAATTTGGTTTTAATTGGTGGACTGTTGATGTTGTGATTTTTTTATTTTATTTAGTGGTTTAGGGTTTTTGAGTTTTTTGACGTTTGTGATTTAACTTCGTACGTAATATCTTAATTTTAGTTGGGTGATTTGGCTATTTGTTGCATTTCAGGATCTTATAAATTTAAAGTTATTCTAAGTAGTTGATTTGTAGTTTGATCGTGGGGAGTTTTGTAGTTGATTTGTAGTTTGATGATGGGAGTTTTGTAGTGGGAGTTTGTTGACATATAGGATTGATTTCTACTGAATTTATTTGGCACATGCTTTTTTTGATCGTCATTTCTTCGACAGTCAATGTGTAGCTAGTTCATGCAAAACCTTGTTTCAGGGAACTGTGCCACTGGTTTGAAGTCATGTCAAATTAAAGCTTGGAGTTGCAATTACAAATAGATTCGCATAACGTGCTTGTTTTCTACAAGGGAGCAGCCTCAAGCTCTTCCTGCAGCACATTTTTCAAAAGATAATCATAGTTATTAGATTAAAGTATTAAATATAATATAAAATAAAATAATAAAATATAAATGTATATCCAATTTGATCGATTTAAGAAAAAATTACATGTATTAAATTTAAATAAATTAAAATTCATAGAATATGAGTGTATTATAATATCACTTACATTGATATTTTTCTTCAAATTGATTTGAGAAATGTTTCTAATTTCTAATTAAAAAAATTAAAAACGAAAAAAGTTAAAGCAAAAAAAAGTTAGAAGTCACGTATAGACATTCATTATTTTTTTTATAAAAAAAAATTAATTTAAAAAGAAAAAAGAAGAAAAACCTTTTAAAAAAAGATGAAAATATATAAAAAAAAAAAAGGAAGAAACTTGAATTTGCATGCAACGTCAACAAATGTCGAGGTTTATAAAAAATTTATATTATAAATTAAAAAATAATTTTAAAAGAAAGGATTAAAAAAATTAAAAGATAAAGTTCAAATGCAATACCAACACATTCATTAATATAAATTTTTAAAACTATCAAATTAAAAAATAAAAAGATAAAACATATATTTTAAAAATAATATCAAATGACCCATAATAAAAGTTAAAATATAAAAAATATTTGTTAAATATTAAAAAAGTTAACAAAAAAATGAAAAAAATAAAGAAAATCAAATAGCTTAACATGTTGTATATTATGATATTAAAACGGATCTTACAAAGAATTTAAATCTAAAAATGATTTATCAATTATGTAAATAAGAAAAGAAAACCTAAAAGAAAAAAAAAAAAGAAACATATGGTGTACCTTGATTAGCAAGTGAATTTTAAAATAAAATTAAAACGAAAACATTTTAAAATTTTTTTGAAAGAAATTATAAAAAAGAAGAAGTACAAAAAGTCGTAAAAAGAAAAGAAAAAAAAAATGGCATAAATGAAATGAGTCCCGTACAAAAAAACTTTATAAAACATATTTTTTGTTTTTTTGTAACATACATAGACACTTGATAAACTTTATCACATGAATATCTATATGAATATTTTTTTTGAATAACCCATAGGATTTTTTAAAATAGAATAATTTATTTTAGTTACAAATCAGATAATTTTAAATTTATTTAAATATCAAAATTATTCAAATTATAATTGAAAATTTAATCAATCTAGATTTTTTTAAATTAAAATCTAAACTATGAATTTTATCTTCATAATAAATAATTTTAGTTATTTATCAAACAACCTTATTTAATAAATTATTTAATTATCAAAATCTTTGAACATGTTTAAAAATTATAAAAATTAAGTTTCTCCAAATCTTTTAATAACTTTTTTTATTTTGATTTAAATCAATAAAAAATTATCCTTTTAAAAATTTACATAAAATATTGAAATTCAAACATTTTTCATGTTAAATCTTTAAATAATAAGACCATAAAAAGGATTATATCCATCTCAACTCTAATTATCAAATTTATATTTCATATAAATATAAAAAATTTGATTTTATCTTTATCACTTATCATATCCCTTTTAAATTTTAAAAAATTAATTTGAAAATCATCTATTCAATCATAATTATTGCTCAAAAATTCTTTTACAAATTTAAAATTATAAATGTAATGTATTATATACGTTTGCAACTTTTATTACTATTATAATTTTTTTTTTGTTTACAACATTTTTCTAAGACATATTTTATTACTATTACAATTTCCTTCTTATGAAAAATAATATTTTTTAATTTATTTTTCTTTTTTCACATGTCTCCTAATATATTTCATAGTTTGTATAATAGTTTGATCAAGATTACAAAAATGAAAATATATTAATACTTCTTTTATTATTTAATTCATCATTCAATAATATAAACGTTTTTGTTTTTTAAGAAAAACATAACTTATTTTTATTTGATATAATTTTACAAGTATATAAATATTAGATAAAAATAATTTAAAGGGAATACATAGAATTTTTTAAAAAAATTTATTTTTTATGACAAGTCAATAAATATGAATTTTATATATATTATAAATTTAAAAATTTAAATATAATTTTAAAAATTAATATATGTATATATCCATATTAAATAAAAAACACTATTTCATGTATCACATGAGTGGCAATCTAATTATTTAATATAATAAAAAAAAACACCGAAAAAGGATAAAATAAAATCAATGCATGAGTATCACACCTAAAAAATTAACCCAAAGAGGAATACGGGTCTTACAAAATAAAAATCAATAAAAAAAATTAATCTTACATAAAAAAATTTAATAAAAAAATGTGGGCTTCACAATTTAAAAAATTGTTAAACTTCAACCTTGAAGTTTAACATTGTCTTCAAATGGAGGAGATAATAGCAAAGGATTTGGAAGAAGTTGTTGGTCAAAGCAATAACCATCTAATCAATATTTGATTTCTTGTAGAACCAAGAAATCAATAGATTCTGTTTTTAAATCAGTTTTGATTAAACTGTTTTTTGATGTTATACTTTTGGCTGAATTTCATTCACAATCGTACATTACAAATTACTAAAATTTTGTAAGGAGCAGGCTTGGTGGATGGTGGCTGCTGCTTGCTAATTGCTATAATGGAGAGAGAGAGAGAGAGAGAGAGAGAACGATCCGGATTTTAGAATAAGAAAAAAAAAGAAAAAGGAAAAAAAAGTCTAGATTTTGAAATAAGGAAAATAAAAAAAAAAATTGATGTGGCCTTTTTATTTCATTTGGACATATTAATAATTTTGGAGGAAGCCAAAGCGAATGAATCATTTGTGAAACCAAATTCCTACAAGGATGGGCTTGGAATTTGATTTGAGAGCAGAAGAGAAAACTAATAGAAACAAGACAAAAATGGTGGAGTAAATCTATTGAAATCAGTCATCAGTGTTTCAGTAAGAAGTGACACTCTCTCAAGTCTGGAGAGTCAGGGTGGAAGGGTTTAAGAACCCCTTTCTTGCTTCCTTTATTGTCTTTCAAGAACAGAAAGAGGGCAAAATGGCAACGAGAGAAGAAGTGACTAGGGAGAAAGAGGATAAGGGAGTTGCAGCGAACGAGGAAGAAGACGATGAGCATGACTCAAAGGAAAGGGTTCTACAAAGATACTTTCTCCAAGAGTGGAAACTGGTGAAATCTCTCCTCGATGACATTGTTTCCAATGGCCGTGTCTCAGATCCCACATCCGTTCACAAGATCCGTTCCATTGTACTCTCTCTCCCTTTTTTTTTTTCTTTTATACCTAATTTTTTACCTTTTAACTCCTTTTTTTTCTTTCTTTTTCAGATGGATAAGTATCAAGAACAAGGCCAATTGCTAGAACCCTACTTGGAAAGCATGGTTTCGCCTTTAATGTTCATCATCCGATCTAAAACAGTCGAACTAGGCATCAATTCCGATGAGATTCTCCAAATAATCAAGCCTATATCTATCATTATTTATTCTCTTGTAACCGTTTCCGGTTACAAATCCGTTATCAAGTTCTTTCCACATCAAGTTTCCGATCTAGAAATCGCTGTTTCTCTCCTGGAAAAATGCCACAACACATCATCCGTCACGTCATTGCGGCAAGAAAGTACGGGAGAAATGGAGGCGAAATGCGTGATCCTTTTGTGGCTTTCAATTCTTGTTTTGGTTCCATTTGATATATCCTCTGTTGATACTAGCATTGCGAATAGCATTGGTAGCACCGGTGAGGATGAGTTGGCTCCTTTGGTGTTGAGAATAATAGGGTTTTCTAAAGATTACCTTTCCAATGCCGGCCCGATGCGTACTATGGCAGGATTAGTCTTCTCAAAGCTCCTAACACGGCCGGATATGCCTAAGGCTTTGGCCAGGTCTTTTATCGTCGCATGCATTAGACTTTTTTCTTTGGTTATTATGCTTAAATTTACCTTAATTGAGTTCCTCTGTGTTAGCTAACCGAATGCTTCTTGTTACTTTGTTTTCAGCTTTATTGAATGGACTCATGAAGTTTTATCTTCGTCAGTGGATGATGTTGTAAGTCATTTTCAGTCGATAGGTGCTGTAGAAGCCCTTGCTGCCATTTTTAAGGTTTGCTTTGGATACTTTTGTGTTTATAGTCTATACTGACTTAAAGCTATAAAATAAATATAAGGCAATATAATATAAAAATTCCTTATTGCTAATCAAGTGGCTACTCTGTGGTACCATTTTATATCTGTAATGGTAGAGAACTTTCATGCACTTGAAAGTATTCTGTAGATCGTTCATTTATGCTAAGAAAATTAATATCTTTCATATTAATCATATTACGTCTATTTTGTATTGTGTTCTTTATCTTGATTTATCAATCTTCATTTGTACTATTTTACTGTGGTCAGGCTGGCAGCAGGAAAGTGTTGGTGGATGTTGTTCCTACCATTTGGAATGATGTCTCCCTTTTGATCAAGTCAGGTACTGCTGCTAGGAGTCCTTTGCTTCGCAAGCATTTGGTAAAGTTAACTCAAAGAATTGGACTTACTTGCCTCCCTCATCGTTCACCAACCTGGCGTTATGTGGTTAGTATTGCTGAATGCTTTGCTTTCTGATTGTAAACTACGTATACTCAGGACTGCTTCACACACACGAAAACTATTACATTTGTCTAAAGAGCAAAGTTATTGAAAAGTTAAGTATATGTTGGTCAAAGATCCTATAGAACATGCCAAGTTTCCATCCTTGAAGGATTTACCTGAGTATTATGTACTTTGTGTATGCTTTTGAGTTGTTACTGGTGCTAATTAGCTTGTACTTATTTAATTTATCGTCTTTAGCAAAGTGATTTTTGTGAAGTTCTTATTTTATCACTGATATTGTGTTAACCAGATATAGTTCCACTTTGATGGTGCTCTCTCACCTTTCTGTTTGCCTTTTATGTAGGGAAGAACCAGCTCACTTGGAGAGAATATTTCTTTGAATGCATCCAACAAGAATGATCAATTAAACCATGGTGTAGTTCTAGAGAACTCCAAATCAGATGAAAATTCCAACTGTCCTCAAGATGAAGATCTGGATGTTCCAGAGATTCTGGAAGAGATAATTGAGGTGTTGCTTTCTGGATTGAGAGACACGGTATGTTTTAAGAATAAGATTCTATTATGTGAACTTATTGCTGTCTTATGTAAACTAGCTTCTATGAAAGCTCTGAATGATGTTGTTGTCATCTCTGAACTTCTATTTACCTTGTTGACTTCATCTTTCATCAAAATATCATATTTGGGCAGCCTTGGTCTTTCCATAATGTGAAGTAGTCCTTGGTGGTACCCGCAATCTTCAACTTCAATATGACTGTAAATGGAATTCCAATCATTCCTTTTGAAGAGTTTACAGTGAAATAGAAGATGTAGACTCACTTGAAATGTTGTAAATATGAAATTTTCATGTCTATTGCATGTTCTCAAAATAGTTCCCTCATGACTGTAATTGAAAGTGGTCCCGTTGTTGAAGCATTATTATACCATTGTAGAGCAAGCATATAACCAAGCAACAGAGAGAAGTTTGACATGAACTTATGGATTCTTTTAGATGAGCAACGCATTCACTTTTTTGCTCTTTTAGACTGCTGATTTGATTATCAGAGATTTGGTATGTAGGACACTGTTGTACGTTGGTCTGCTGCGAAAGGTATAGGCCGTGTAACTTCACGTTTAACGTCTGCGCTCTCAGAAGAGGTCTTGTCATCTGTGTTGGAGCTGTTTACACCTGGTGAGGTATGCTGATGCTGTTTCTTTCTTTTATATCCTTGTTCTTCCCTAATGAGATGGATAATTGGATCTCTTATGCATACCTAGCAATACCATATTTCACTTCAATTCCTTATAAAATTATTCTTGAACCATTTTTAGCTTGTAGATAGACTATAGGAGTCGTGCTGATATGTATTGATTTTTCAGGGAGATGGTTCATGGCATGGAGGTTGCTTAGCATTGGCTGAACTGGCAAGGAGAGGGTTGCTCTTACCTACCAGTCTCTCCAAAGTCGTACCTGTTGTTGTAAAGGTTGTGTGGTTTTTAACCTTCTCAAAGTAATTGAATTACCATGAACCCTAGATGAAGTTCCTCCTTGAATCCATAAAAGTTGATATGGATGCCTGAGCCTGGTTACTTACATTTTAAGTAGAAATTATTTGCTTCAAATGCCTTTTGGATCAAGAGTCAAATTTATTTGCTGATTTTGAGCAGTGTTCTTGATAGGCATTACATTATGATGTTCGAAGAGGTCCACATAGTGTTGGATCTCATGTACGAGATGCTGCTGCCTATGTTTGTTGGGCATTTGGTCGTGCATATTATCATACAGATATGAGAAATGTATTGGATCAGCTTGCTCCCCACCTATTAAGTGTGGCCTGCTATGATCGTGAGGTGCTTACCTCTGTGTATTTCTCTTGTTTTGTGGTATAAATTCTGCTCGTGCCTAATATTTTATGTTCTATTTTGCCATGCTAAAGATTTTGATATATTCATTAGGTTAACTGTAGAAGAGCTGCTGCAGCTGCTTTTCAGGAGAATGTTGGAAGACAAGGAAATTACCCACATGGCATTGATATAGTGAATACTGCTGATTACTTTTCACTTTCGTCACGAGTGAACTCTTACATTCATGTTGCTGTCTGTATTGCTCAATATGAAGGGTATCTTCATCCATTTGTGGATGAGCTTCTGCATAACAAGATCTGTCACTGGGTATGGTCTGATGTTTAAGTTAAAGCTTGTGTTCATTAGACGAATTTCTAACTTTTCTGGATGTTGTCCTGTTAGATGGAGCATATCCTGCCATCTCTTTTTATATCTTGAAGGACTTTATTTGGGTTAAATAAGCAAAGATTTATAAGAGTGTTGCCATTCTTGTGTTGAGTTATGATGTAACTTGTGCTTTTTCTTCCACATTTTAGATATTTCACCAGGCACCGAACTTTTGAGAAAACTATGCCTTCAAAGAGCGACCTGTTGAAGTGATGTTACTACTTGGTTGTTAGCTTGGTAAAGTTGGTTCAGAGTCATTCAACAAGTTAGATAATAGGATAGCCATGCTGATGGATCTTTTTTGCATGGAAAGGCATTAACCAACTTGCAGATTGCAGGGGAGGGGGAATTAACTAGGGTTTGAGAAGATAGCAAAACTTATAATTTTATATAGGTTAGGGCTTCATTAATTGACCTAGGGACTTCTTATAAGTCTTTGTTTATTTTATACCTCAGATAATTCACAGGATCCATGTACTTCTAACAGGAACCAAAGCTTTAAAGCTTTTTTCTGTTTTATATAATTGGAATTTTCATTAAAATTATCATTATTTTTTCCTCATGGTTGTTATTGCTAATTCTTTTACTCCTTTATGTTTTCAAATGAAAATTCTAGTTTTATATATTTGAGTGGAGCATGTGGCATGCACTAGGATGTTGTGTTTGGTTATTTTTTACCTGAATTATTGTAGTAGTCAATGATCATCACCATTTTTTCTTTCGGTTATTGTGACTTTTGATGTGCACCAGTTTTTGGAACAGATGACTTATTCATGAATTATAATTGATTTCTTCAGGATAAGGGCTTGAGAGAGCATGCTGCAGAGGCACTTGCTGCTCTTGTCAGTTATGATGCTGCATACTTTGCAGACTCTGTTCTGGAAAAGTTAATTCCTTTTACTCTGTCATCTGATTTATGCACACGCCATGGTGCAACCTTGGCTGCTGGAGAACTTGTTTTGGCACTACATCGATGTGGTTATGATCTTCCCAGTGGTAGGCCACATTTCTGACTCTATAAGTATATAGTTAGTTAATGGAAAATTCAACTAAATTCATCGTAAGTTTGACCAAAGAATTGTTCAGGGTTTGATTAGATTTCTATTCAGGGATGCTTCAATCTCAGGTTATTCTTATCCATTCCTGCTTTTAAATTCTAATGCACCTTTAGAATGGAACAATGTCAGAAATTGAGAATTCGCTGACTGCATCTTGTTGTTTGCTTGAATAATGCAATGTTTCAGAAATATTTTGGAAACAAAATAGAATTTGTCAAAATGCTTAGTTTGAAATGTTTACAAACATAAAAGCAAGATTTAGATTAGAAAATGCTAGGTTAGTAATTATCACTGGCAGCTGCTGCTCTAGTGTAGGCTTTGGTGGGTTTAGTTGAGTGTTTAGTATCCTATAGGTGTTTGGTAGGAGGGGGGAGATATAAAGGCAGATGCCATGAGTCAAAGCCTACTTATACTCCTTGATGAAATCACAACTCTATCAAAGATTGAGAAAATCAATTTACTTCTCTGCTGCTTTTGTTTGTCTTATTAAATGTCATATTTTTTCTTTGTTTCTCATTCAATCAAGTAGTTGCTACTTGTTCAAGCTTTTAATCCATATATTAATCCTCAGTTTCCCTATTTTTGTGTTTATGTATACAGATAAAAAGAAAGAAGTTTCTGGTATCGTTCCTGCTATTGAGAAAGCACGCCTTTATCGGGGGAAGGGTGGAGAAATAATGCGGGCAGCTGTTTCCCGGTTTATTGAATGCGTCTCATTCTCTCAACTACCTTTGCCAGAGAAAGTAAAACGAAGTTTGATTGATACCCTTAACGAGAATTTGAGACACCCTAACTCTCAGATACAGGTGCTTCTTTTCTTATATAAGATGTGTTTCTTTTTTTTTTTTTTTCCCTTAAAAATAGATTTTTTCCCCTTAATTGATTTGATATCATGAATTGAGAATCAAAATTATCATCTGATATACAGACTGCAGCTGTGAAAGCCCTAAAACACTTTGTACAAGCATACCTTGTTGCTACGGATAATAAAGGTGCCATTGATATAACAATGAAGTACCTGCAACTCCTGGATGATTCAAATGTGGCTGTAAGAAGAGGATCTGCAATGGCATTGGGTGTTTTACCCTACAAATTGTTGGTTAATCATTGGAGGGATGTGATTTTGAAGCTTTGCAGCTCTTGTGCAATTGAGGTACAAGTTCTCACTGTGAATAAGTTTCTCTGTTAAAGAACTGTGGATGTTTGACTAATATAAGTTTATTTTCTATGTGCAGGATAACCCTGAGGATAGAGATGCTGAAGCACGGGTTAATGCTGTCAAAGGACTTATATCTGTTTGTGAGACATTAACTCAGGCGAGAGAAAATTCTGATATCCATTCTGGAGAGGATGACATGTCTCTCTTTCATCTCATCAAGAATGATGTGATGGTTAGTTTGTTTAAAGCTCTTGATGACTATTCTGTAGATAACAGAGGTGATGTGGGTTCTTGGGTTCGTGAGGCCGCTATGGAAGGCCTTGAAAAATGCACATATATCCTTTGTAAGAGAGGTTCCACAAACTATACCAGGAAACCAGACATGCTTGAATCTGTGTCAAAGCTGCCTAATAGCAATGTTGATGAAGAGAATCAAATGTGCCCATTTTTTGACATAAATATTGCTACCAATTTGGTGGGGGGGATCGCAAAGCAAGCTGTAGAAAAGATGGATAAACTAAGAGAAGTGGCTGCTAAGGTTCTCCAAAGGATTCTGTACCACAAGGAAATTTTCATTCCTTTTATACCTTACAGAGAAAAGATAGAAGAAATTGTTCCCAATGAAATAGATTTAAAGTGGGGAGTAAGTAGTTATGTGTCACTTGTTGTCGAGTTTGCTTCACGAGTACTTTTGGATCTGATATTAAAATGACATTATGTGCTTGCTTGTAGGTACCTGCCTTTTCATATCCACGTTTTGTGCAATTACTTCAGTTCGGTCGTTATAGCAGACCAGTACTGTCTGGTTTAGTTATTTCAATTGGTGGGTTGCAAGATTCTTTAAGGAAGGCATCACTCTCTGCATTTTTGGAGTATCTTCAAGTTGATGAAGACATTAATAAGGAATCCAAGGTGTGTAAGTTATCCACTGACATCCTTTGGATTCTCCAAGAGTATAAGAGGCTCGACAGGGTCATTATACCGACTTTGAAGGTAACTGAAAATCTTGATACCATTCTCGAAAAAGAAAAAAAAGAACCGTTGATACCATGTATATGAAATCAAGCACTGTTTGTTTTGTATGTATTTGTTACAAAATTGGCTGCTAACCAAAGATATAACAGAGGCATTCCAATGTATGTTGAAACCTCTAATTTGTCTTGCTGAGTTAATTATGGAATATTAGTTTATCTTATTTTTCTTACATGTGTATGTTGTTGCTGATGCGTATATTGCAGACAATTGAGATTCTTTTCAGCAAAAAAATATTCTTGGATATGGAGGTTAGTTTCTGTATCTCCCTCTTGCTCCCTGGCTTATACAGTTTAGTCTCTCATCATTCCATCCAACAATGTTTTACTGCTCTTTTATTAAAACATGTAAATTATTTTCCATGCTTTATATATTTATCAAATTAGTATACCTCATGTCCTCTAGTCGCAAATGAGCATCAGATGGTTATTTTGTAGGCCTTGTATCATAAATTGGCTGACCTCTCTTTCATAGAAAGGGAATCATTTAAATTTTGATGTCATTTCGATTATCATAGAAAGGGAATGCATTCTAAATTGTATGACTGAATTTTAATTGACAGGCTCATACTTCAATTTTCTGTGCTGGTGTTTTGGATTCTCTGGGGGTTGAATTGAAAGGGTCCAGGGACTTCTCCAAGTTATATGCAGGCATTGCAATACTTGGATATATTGCTTCAATTTCAGATCCTGTCAACTCCCGGGCCTTTTCTCATCTGCTCACGTTCCTCAGCCATCGGTACCCTAAGGTCTGTTCTGGTGATCGCATTTGTTGAATTGCAGAAACTCTTTTTGCTTATGGTATTTTCTTTTGTTTCTTAACACGTATTTCATCTACCAGATTCGCAAAGCTGCTTCCGAACAAGTTTATCTGGTCTTGCTGCAAAACGGAAGTCTAGTGTCTGAGGAAAAAACAGACAAGGCACTTGAAATTATTTCTGAAACTTGCTGGGATGGTGACGTGGAAACAGCAAAGCTTATGAAGCTGGAATTGCTTGAAATTGCTGGTCTGGATGTTGGACAGCTAAAAACCACTGAAAAAGTACGAAAAAAGGATGATAAGAAATCTGCAGCTCCAGATGAAAATGAATCCTACTCTTCATTGGTTGAGTCAACTGGGTTTTTGATTGCTTAAAAGAAAAAACAGCCAGCCTCCTGTTGTACTTTTTTATCTTTTTACTTGTTTCATTTCATTAATGAGCTTCTCAAGGTGATGGTAGGCCTTTGTCACGGGAGGGTTTAGTTAAAAATATATGCATACTAGATGAATATCCTCGTGTTGATGCGGAATGAATTTTGTAATTAAAATTAGTAATTTTGTATTTTAAAAATATTGATCCTTTTATATTTTTTAGCTATGTTCTTTTTGACTCTTTATTTTTTCCACAAATATTCAAAAATAAAACCATTACCCGGTTTATTGTATTTAGTTTTAAAGCAAACGCAATTAGATTTAGCTAAATATTATTGAGAAATAAAATTAATACTAATGACATAATAGTGTGTTATTAATATCTAGGTTTTTAATATTTAACATTATTAAAAATAATAATAGTAATTAAATTGAATAAATTGTTAAAACTAAAACGTAAGAGTAACGTCTTTTAAAAAAATGTAAAACTAATCAGGGACTGTACAAGGGTCGGGTGGCGAGACTCGGGTCGAGCTTGGATAAAAAATTTTATTCTCGGGATCGGGAATACTAAAATATTAATAAGACTTTTTATGTAATTTTTTATTTTAAAATATTAAAATATTGCTAATTTATTTTTAATATTTAAAAAAAAAAAAAAAAACTAAAGCTTTAAAGCCCAATGAACCAGGTCATGGGAAACCTTAGATAAAAATTTTAAAAGGCTAATCGGATTGATCCGATCCTACCAAATCTACCATCAAGAAACCCGAAACCAAAATAGTCACAAATCTATTGATAATATATTTTCTTGATATCCCCTTCGAATTTATGTTGATCATATCCCCTTCGATACTTCTTTTACTTTTTCAAAAAAAAAAAAATATATATATATATATAGTACTTCTTTTAATGCAATAGATTGGTTAATACTAAAGTGTTGGTCATACATGTAATGCTAATAAAATAATTGAAAATTTTTAAAATCGATCGTTCCTTTAAAATTTATTACTAATAATTTATGTTTCTGTTTCCATCATAAATTTCCCATAAATAAAGTTGCTTTAAATAGATGTGGATCGGCGAGATATGAGTTGCATATATAGACTGGTAGTTGTGGTTGTCAACTTGTTATTTTTGTTCAAAGAAACTGAGAAGACGAAATTGATTACCCCTAAACAAGGGCACAAATATTGGCTTTTAAGAGGTTAGAGATTGAAATGAAGACACAGACATTTTTATCCAACTTTTTTCGACCCATACAAAAAGATTATATTTGTCTTAAGTGGCGGTTTGGTTGGCCGAGCTTACAAAAAGAGTTTACTTACTTCAAAATTATAATAAAATTTAAACATTTTTAGTGGAAATTATAAAATAATGTTTTTAAAGAAATGTTAACTTTAATAATTATTATTTAATAAAAATTTTTTACGTTCTCACTTTACTCTTAAATAATTCAAAAAAATTATAAGAAATATTATATTATTTTGTCCAATTTTTCTATTGATTTTATTTTTTATTTCAATTAATAAAAATATTTCTTTATATTATTTATTTTTTCACTTAAAACTTGTGATTTAATTTAATAAAAATTACTATTTTATTTTTTAATTATTTGAATATAATTTTTTTATTTTTAATTTATAATTTTAAAAAAAATCAGCCTAGCTCTACCGTCCATTCTATTTTCACCTCCCAACAAAATAAAGAATATGCTCTCATTCTCAAAGCCATATAAACGAGAGTGTTTTGAATATTCTCTAACTAGTTGAAATGCGTTTTGGCCAAATTAAAAAAATAATAATAAAAAACAAAATTAGCCGGAAAGTGAGAAAGAAAATATCTAGGTAATAGTGACGTAAGAGATTTAAGATTCCCCTCCCATCAGGCAAATTTCTACGTGGTCCATTATCCATAAAATTTTCTACAAATCAATAATGTACATATTGATTGTACAAGGACAATGGGACACCCCATTGACATGTCTAAAACCATGCAAAGGACAATGGCCTACCGGACGCACCCAAATCAATATAATTTGATAAAAGGAGATGAATTCTTTTGTTTTTCCAATCACATTTTGATTTTAAAAAAAATGATACTTGAATTATTGTAAAATGTTTAACATAATATTTAAATTTAAAATTTTTTAATTAATATTTAAATTATAAATTTATTAATAAATTTAATATTCGAAAATTCTTTGTTCATCACATAATATCATTTAAAACTAACATGTCAATAGAAATGCTATAATATATTAATTAACACATTTATAATTTAAAAATTATTTGTAATTATAATTTTTTTAAAAGTAAAATTTTAAATATGTCATGCTTAATTATAAATACCTCATTCTTTATTTCCTCTTGATGTTCTAGAAAAATTACCATTAATCTTGTTTTTGTTGTTGTTAAGTACATCTACTCTATACTTGAATTTGTATATTTTGCCATGTGCGGAATTTGTGCCGAAAATAGGTTGGAGGGAGACAAGGTGCTTTCTCCTGCCTTTCCTGTCTGCCAGGCCTATGATGGAAAGGCCATGCTTGCCTTAAAGATGTTCAATGACTAAGACAGCTGAACCCATTCTAATGCTTTATTTAGCTTTTATTTTCCCTTACCTCGAAAGAAAGTTACTAAATTTATCAAAGAAAAAAAAAAAAAAAAAGAGAAAATCACATAAAATTTCATTTATTCATTTATTTGTTTGTTTATACCGTGGCATCAAATCTTTCAACATATGGATATAATTAGAGGACATGAGACATGGCTTAGGACCCGCTACCCTATATTTGTTAATAAATTATTATTGCACAAATGTATTTCTTCTCCAAATTTAGTTTTTCCATGTTAGATGTATTTATACGATAAATACTTTTAAAATTTTGCTTAATGTTCGATTTAGTTTAAATCGATAGTTTAAATTTACTTTAAATTGTAATTAATATATTAAAATATTTTAATTAATATTTTAATTTTTGATATACTTTAAAATTAAATAAAATAATAATTTAATACGTTAAAAGCAAGATTGGTGCTTTGTCAATCATTCGAATTGTGGAAATGTTTATTCTATAATAAAAATAATGAAAATAAATATATACATTTAAATAATGTATTGTTTTTTAAAATAAATATATACATTGCTTAATTTAAAATATATATAAATATATATTTTATCGTTGAATCAAAGCACAAATAATATTCCTTTTATCGATCGTGCCATAAATGCACTTTATTAAGATGGCAGAGGACAACACAATTTGGTGGGGACAAAGACAAATTTTGTTCCTCAATTTTAAAATTTCCAAATGTAATGCAGTTTGATGCTTCAATAGTTTCTAGATGATGTGTGACCTTTTAACAACAAATTTATAATAATATTCATATATAAATAATGTAATTAGATTTAGTGAAATTCTCCACTATTACACATTATATATATATATATTTCTTTTAATTCCATTTGTAATTTATTATTTAAAATTTACATAATTAATGAAACTTAATTTTAAAAAATAATGGCAGTAGCTTTTTTTTTTTTAACTCTGTAAAAAATAATAACATCAAAATAATTTAAAATCGAGGAAGTAACATATTACCAATGAATCTGGGATTAACTTAAAAGATTTATCCATTTTTAAAGGAAATGATTTTAAATAAGGTTGGGGTTTCATTCAAGCATTTGCAAGTTCCCATTCCCATAAAAGTAGCATATATTACAAATGGCATTTGTAAAATCTATAACACCCCTAATTCTATTGATTAATAGTGAGGATACAATATAATATATAAAATAAAATTTAAATTCATATTTATGAATCTCTCAAATAAAATTTTAAATTCTTTTAATTAAAACGTATAATATTTTACAGATTATATATAAATTTTTATAAAATCAATTTGAAAATGTATAATATAATATTATAACTAATAATATAATACTCTATAATATCATTTTAAATGGATATCTTATAAAAAATTTATGGGATCATATGTACAACAAAATAAAATATTTTATTTTTAATTTATATGTTATTGTTTTTTTGTTTGGTCCCTTAGCCTGTCTCCACCATTGACTCCCAATCTTTATGCGTAGACAAATATGTTTTAACCACTTCATAATTCATATAGTTAGATTATATTGGATTATACACCAAATTTCCTTAAATATTTTTCTATCACTTTTTTTAAATTATAAATACAAAAGAACTTGTAATCATAATTAATTATTATATTCATATATAATATATCACTGGAAAATCAATCAATAAATTCGAAAAATTAAAACTAAAATATAATTAAATAATCAAACTTATATATAATGAGATTTAAATATAAAATCTTAAAATTTTAAAAATTTTTTCTCATCAAATTAAGATCTAATTGGCCACTAATTTTTTAATCTAAATTTATTGGATTGGCTTCTAATTAATTTGTTTATTTCTTCTAATTAATACCCACATAAGATATTGAATTGTATTTTATAATAGAGGATGTTCTTGAACCTCCACGCGGTTTCCTGATTAATGTTATTGTCAATTTACATGGAGTACTTAATTGGTAAAAGCTGCATGACCACAACGATAGATACATTCCTACCGTCGGCGATCATGACATCCCATCAATATTAATTATTCTTTAGGACCCCAAGCCTTGACTTTTATTTTTTTTTAACTTTAAATTTATCCACCATTTTATTTATAATGGTGGATAAATTTTTTATTATTTTTAATTAATTCAAATAATATTAAAGTTAATATTAAATAATACATGTTTATCAATTCAATAATATTGAAAATAATTTTAAAATTAAAAATTAAAAATTAATTCAAAAGATAGAAAATACTCGTCAAAGATAAGCAATAATTAAGTTTAATCAATCGCTTAAGTGGAATGATGATTTTGAACTTTGTTCTTTCCTTTTAGAATTATTCTTCTTAAGGAAACAAAATCTATCTTTGACAATTAATCAGTTGGGTTTTTCCAACTTTATTCAAATTCAAATTGAGTTGGTTAACTAAGCCCAACTCCCCTTTGTTATTCTTTGTACAATCGTATGACAAAATTGAAAATTTTTTTTTGTTATATACACATGATTTTGTATATATCATGGACAATGACTCCCTTGCATGTCATATATCCTATTTTTTTTCTTTCTTAAATTTCTAATATGAAATTTATAAGTTAGAGTATCAGTTCTAATCGTCCACGTCCTTTTCTCAACATTTGACAAGAATTGAAGATAAAAATATTTGCAATATGCCAATTTCTTTTAAATTCAAATGTAAATAAAATATCAATAAATTATTAATTCAATGATACTAAAAATCGATTTAAGATTAAAAGTTTTAATAATAACTTAAAAAATATAAACAAAATAAAACATTATAAATAAATTACAATGAGTGGAGATTAAAGTTTGCTACACCTAACCAACTTTACACACTCCATTATGCTTTGCATATTGCTTTTTATTAAAAAGAAAAGCAGATACGCGCTAGATATCTATCTTTTATTCAAATATAAAAATTAATATTTATTAATCCGATTGATAAAAGAGTTTGATTTTTTAAAATAAAATTTTAATTTTTTTGTAAATAAAAAAATAAATTTAAAAAGAGTTTGTTTTCTTTATAAAATTTAATTCGACTTAATTTTGAATTAATTAAAATCTAAAATGAGAGATTTCAAATAAAAAAAATATAAAAACTAAAAATTAAATTAATTTTCTTTGCTCACCTTTTTTCCTTAATTTCCACTTAACTTCATAATAATTTAATATACAAACTTCCAAATCCAATTGGCAAAAAATTCAATTAGATTCATCAAAATTCAATTTTTATGAGAAGTAATTTAAAAAAATTAAATTTAAGCAAAATTTGAAAATATTCATGATAACATTACAAAAAAATATAAATTAATATGGGCAAGAATATTCCTCGGGGGGTTCGGGGAATTCTGACCCTCTCAAACCTTATTGTTGTAGCCAGTCGTAACTCTTTGACCTTTATTGCTGGTTTAATTTGTAATATTTGGCAGCCAACCGAGTAAAATAATAATCAAATGGTTAATCAGTAAACATGGGTGGGCTGTAAACGCGGCGGCTCTCTTCGTGGATATTGTCTCAAATTTGCAGCATGGAACTAAAACCTCACCTACTTTTGTCCAATATAAAAACTTTTGAAATTAAAGGTGCTTTGTTAGTATAATTTATATTTATAAATTTTGAATATATTAATCAAATTAAGTAAATTTTTATTTTTATTTTTTACAAAATGAAGTCACAATCAAAAGACAAAATTTTTTTAATTTTTAAAATTTTATCTCTTAAAAATAATTATATAAATTAATTAAATTAAAATTTGAATTCAACTTTTTATCCAAAGTAACACAAATTAAAAAAAAAACGATAAAAATTGAGTAAAAATAATAACTTCGAACCATAAAAAATGTAAGAATATTTTTTAACTTAATCTAAAGTTGCAAAGATTGGAATTTTGATTTCTTTGAAGTTTATTTAGAAGAATTTGATAAGTAAAATCAAATCTCAAAAAACAATTATCCAAATTTAATCCCTAAATAGCTCAAACAAACCGACTTTTTGATCCAGTTAAGGTTTGAATCAAGTTGTAATACTTGATTAGATTTTTGAATTACTTGAATCAAGTATTAAAATATTTAAATTTAATTAAAATTGTTAAATAAATTTAACTTTGATGGATAATAAATTGGATAATGAAATTTTTTTAAAATTAAGAAAATGAATTAGTTAAATTTGACTATTTAATTTGCATTTTTATTTGTTATTAAATTTAATAATTTATGTATTTGTATAATATTTATTTGATGTCAAATATTTATAAAACATAAAAATTATTATATTATAATTCATATTATCAATTCAAATATGAAACATATTTTTTTATTAAATTTATTTTTTGTTAAAATTTTAATTTTTTATTTTCATGATTTTTTTGGTATTATTTTTATATCATGTTTAAAATTATTTGGTCTACTTGTTATATAAATATTATTTTTATTATAATTTTTAAATAATTAAATAAAAAAGAAAATTTAAACAACAATATATTAGTTTCGGAAAAAATAAAACAACTATATATTAGAAAGGGGCATAGAGTTAAACAAAACTACAATCTACTACCACTGCCGTATATATTTTGAAATACTACCGTATATATGTTGCAGAAAAGAAAACCTGTTATCACACGTAACAGAGTACCGACCAAAGAGGAGAAATGGTAGAACAAATTTTATATTGAATTCAGTGGATAATAATTTATTTTAATATAAAAAAAAACTTCAAACTAAGAAAATCAAATTTTTATATTTCATTTACCACCGATCTTTTTTCTCTTCTTCCTCTCTGTTTCCTTGAGATCCAAAAGATACCCGTTTGAGTTCTCTTTTTACTTAATCTCCCAGATCTTACAGATTTTCAAAAGACCCAAATTCAGAAACTTCAAAAGCTTTGATTTGAAGAAGAAAAAAAAAAAAACAAGAAAAAAAGAAGCTTTGCCTTGCGTGTTTGGTGATAACAAGTAGGTCTAGGTGGGGGCGAATGTGGCTGATTTTCTCTTTCTAGTCTGTTTGTGTTTGGCTACCAAGATAATTCTTTTCTTTTTGCTTCTGTTTCTGGGTCTTTCTGTTTAGTGAGTGAGAACTAGAAAAAGAAAGAAGAGATCTTTTTGGTGTTTTGTTGATTTGGAGTTGAAGAAAAGATGCAGCAAAATCACTTGAAGAAGGTTGGTTTTTTTTTTTTTTGGGTATAAAATTTGTTAGTATTTTCTTTTATTTTAAAGATTTAGAATTTTAGGAATTTTAAGATCTGGGTTTTGTGTATGAAAGTGGAAAAGATTTAAATTTTTTGATTGTCTTGAACATAGTTTCAACATAAATTTTTTAAGCTTGTTCTTTATTCATGATTTCTTGTTGGAAGAGATAGGATTGGACTTAGGTGCTATGGATTTTAACTTAATAAACCTTTTTAGATTTTATTAAAGTTAAGTTAATTTAAGTTAATAAATTTTATTAAATAGTTTGCAAAAGGTAGGATCTTGGTTAAGCTTTATTAGCTTCTTTTTTGGTGAGAAGGTGTTGTGAAAGGAGATAAATTGAGATTTTGTGATTTGGGTTTAGATCCTTTTTGTTTGTTTCTTTGTTCGTTTGTTAAGTTCTGGCTTTAATTGTTTACTGAGATTGAAGCGACATAGTTTTGGAACTGAAGAGAGCTTAGAAAAGATCAGATTTAGTTAACACTTTTGCTGTAATGAAGAAACTAATAGTGAAAAAGAAATAAAAAGCACCTTGTCTTGTACTTCAATTTCAGGTTATTAAATCGACTTTAGTTTGAAAATTTGTTAAAACTTGTTTCAGGTTATTGTATGATCATGGTTATCAGATTGATGTGATTTCTTGTCTTAATCTTACCAGTTATGAGAGGAATTAACTTTAAAATAACTGGCGGCTTTGAAATGTTGGAATTGGTTGCGTTTCTTGAGATTATTCTCTTTTCACTGTTTTGGCTTCCCGTAAATATGTTTTACTTTTGTATAGCATGATAAAGATAGCTGCTAGTATTATTGATTCCTTTCAATATGGCTTTCTTTACTAAAGGTGGTATTGATTTCCTTTCTAGTTATGCTGGACTGCAATTCCAAGAAATGAATCTATGTTAACAGATTCTATATTCTGTTTTTGACTAATAGAAATTGTCAAGCCAAGAACAACATTTGGAACCTAATTCTGTTCCTCAAAGCAATAACTTTGGATATATATTTTGAAGTGTCTTAATTTTGCATCTTTGAAGGCTATTAAAGCTGTATGAAGACTCTTGGTTTTGGCTTCATTCAAGCAACTTCTAGGTTGAATAGTTATCTTATTCAGCTAGTTTAAACAAAGATTTGCATACATTTCTAACATCTTAAACATAATTCATTTGTGCAGTATTGAGTTCCGTATGATGTCACAAGCATGTTTGTGGGTCTTCCTTGATTTTTAACTTCAAGTCTACTTAGACCTGTTGTTTTGAGTTGGAGCATATATGCTTGTTAGTTGTTATCCAATTATGTCATACTAGTAGCTTTGAACTAGTTTTTGTTTTACTGTTGCTCTCTTTTTGCTGCTGCTGCTATTTTTTCCTTTCTTCAAATTCATAGATAATTTACTTATGGCACCCTCTATAGGATTCAACTATTCATGATTCTGTTGTTTCTGCTGCTGCTACTTTTTCTTTTCTTTAATGGCAAAAGGGTCAAAAAGGCCTTCAAACAAAAATTTAATAATCGTTTAAGCTCTTGACGTTTCATTGTAATCAATCAAATCCTGAATCTTCTATTTTGAATCAGTTGAACCCATTAACATCTATTTTCATCCAATTCAACCCTTAAACATCTATTTTCACTAAATTAAGCCCTTGATTGGACAGAAGCAATTAAATATTTTTCCTCTAACAAGGGCTTAATTAGTGAAAATAGATGTTTGAGGGTTTAATTGATTGCAAAAAAAGATAGTGGCTAGGATGATTATTGAATTTTAGTTTAGGGGCTTTTTTGACCCTTTCACCTTCTTTAATCATATGTAACTTACTTATGGCCCAACCATGCATGATTCTAATTATTTTTCATTTTAATTCTTCAGGACTTAAAAGAGATGGACTTTTTCACTGAATATGGCGATGCAAATAGGTATAAAATTCTTGAAGTCATTGGGAAGGGAAGCTATGGAGTTGTTTGCGCAGCGCTTGACACACATACTGGGGAGAAAGTGGCGATAAAGAAAATACAAGATGTATTTGAGCACACATCGGATGCTATAAGGATTTTACGTGAAGTCAAGTTGCTCAGACTTCTTAGACATCCTGATATAGTTGAAATTAAGCGTCTAATGTTGCCACCATCGAAGAGGGAGTTCAAAGACATATTTGTTGTTTTTGAGCTCATGGAGTCTGATCTTCACCAAGTCATCAAAGCTAATGATGACTTGACGCGTGAACATCACCAGTTTTTCCTTTACCAAATGCTTCGTGCGATGAAATATATGCATACAGGTAAAATGTTGTATGTTTGCTTTCTTATGTGTTTATATTTTATAATGTCATACCTTTGTCAATGGCTTTTTCCTTGTGAGCGCCGTATTGTCAACATTTTTACTGTTCTTAATGAAAGTTGGAAGTTCCTCATTCTTGCAATAGAAGTAAATTCCATTTGCCTTAGTTTTTGTTACCTAGCCTTGACATCTTGACATGCTTTAATTGATAGGAAATTGGTTTGGATGGGGTGCTTTAAGTAATTACAAATTTATACTGATTGCTAAGTTCGTGGTTGCAGCTAATGTTTACCATCGTGACCTTAAACCAAAGAATATACTGGCAAATGCAAATTGCAAACTTAAAGTTTGTGACTTTGGGCTTGCAAGAGTTGCATTCAGTGACACCCCAACCACAGTCTTTTGGACGGTATGTAGCTTTGTTTAGCACGCCTTTATTTTTCCTCAAAGTATGCATGTTTATATGTTATTTTCTGATGTTCCTTGTAGGACTATGTTGCTACACGATGGTACAGGGCTCCAGAGCTGTGCGGATCTTTCTTTTCTAAGGTATGGTTTTTGTGTCGTGTATGGCCTTTAGTTCCTTTCTTCCAACGTAATTGGCAAGATGATTGAGCATGATATAGGGTATCATGGACCAAAAGGTTGGCGTAGATTTGTTGTTTGGCTAAATGCTACTCGCAGTCAAGGTCAAACCTTGTATCATCTTCTGGTTCACTTATGAGTTAAATATGTCAGATATTTGTGGTTAATTTTTATAGACCTCTTATTTTCATTTTATCATTTGGTTCTAATGTTTTATTAAATTCAATTTTGGATATATTGCCAAATATTGGAGTACTCTCATTGAGTTACCATGTATTGTTTGAGCTATGTCATACTCAGCAAATCAAAACATTTTTTGTTATATAAAGAATACTTGGGTGCTTTTTAATAAGCAGTAATGCCTAGATTAAAATAATTGTTGTTCAGGGAGGACTTTGAACTCTCCTGGAAGTTGAAATATCTGTCATTCAGGTAATTGTGTCAGGCTATGTCTGTTTCTCTGGAGTGCTTTACTTGTGGTGTGACTGTTAAATTTTACTTATCAAGTCTAATTTCTGTTGTCTACTGTCTGCAGTATACACCAGCTATTGATATTTGGAGCATCGGCTGCATCTTTGCAGAGGTATTGACAGGGAAGCCCCTATTTCCTGGAAAAAGTGTTGTTCATCAATTAGAATTGATCACTGATCTTCTGGGAACACCTTCACCAGAAACCATTTCTGGAGTATGGCATCTTGCTCTCTCTCCTTTTTCTTTCTTGTGTGTTTTGTTTCCATGGGGTCTTCTTTAATTTTCTTTTCTAGAGTGCGAATTGGTGATATTTGTTTCACACAATTGCAGGTCCGAAATGATAAAGCAAGAAAATACTTGACAGAAATGAGGAGAAAACACCCTGTGCCATTTTCACAGAAATTTCCAAATGCAGACCCTTTAGCAGTGCGGCTATTGCAGAGATTGTTAGCATTCGATCCTAAGGACCGGCCAACTGCTGAGGAGGTGTGTTGTCTTATTTCTTGTGCTGTAAATATGGTATCCTTTAGATGCAATCCAGTCAATAATGAATAGAACTTTCTTGTTTATGTCTATATTGTTTCTAAAAATTTCTATACTCATTTTGCTTCATCACACTGAAACTTTTCTGTATTAATGTAATAGGCATTAGCTGATCCTTACTTCAAAGGCTTGGCTAAAATTGAGAGGGAACCTTCTTGTCAGCCAATCTCAAAATTAGAGTTTGAGTTTGAGAGGCGAAGGGTGACAAAGGAGGACATTAAGGAATTAATTTACAGGGAGATACTAGAATATCATCCTCAGCTGCTCAAAGACTATATAAATGGAAACGAAGGAACCAATTTTCTCTATCCAAGGTTTGAATACTTTCTAATTACCTAATGTATTTGTCATTAATTTTAATGCTTCTTGTCTTGTATTTTTTTCTCTCTTAATTCAGTTGATTATATTGTGGGTTTTTTTATTTTTTAATTGCAGTGCCATTGGTCAATTCAGAAAGCAGTTTGCGTATCTGGAAGAAAACGGCGGTAGAAGTGCACCAGTTTTCCCTCTGGAGAGGAAGCATGTATCCCTCCCAAGGTATGACGTGTTTCAGACAATTCAGTTTTTAATGTATTAACATTTTGCTTTTAATTAGAAATGTTAATTATGCTATTGCTCTCAGCTGACTTGAGATGGGGCAAGGAAAAATGCAGACTCAGTATTATAGATCCATAGTTACATAACATAAACAAAAATAAATATATTCCTTCATTTTGAATGAATGTTCTCCCAGTTGAATGACATATGTACTCAAAGAAATTAGCACCTTTTCTACCCCTCTGGAGATGCAACTTTCCAGCTTGTATTCTGTTTGATTGCAGGTCTACAGTTCATTCTACTACTATCCCTTCAAATACGCAGTCAACTTTGGTTTCATCTGAGAATCGACAAGTTAAAGAGGAGGCTTCCAAAAAAGTAACAGATGCGATTTCTGGTAATCCAAAGATAGCACGGCCTCCACCTAGGGTGCCATCTGGTATGAATGATTTCTGTTCTGCTTTTATCTAAGCTTTCTTTTGGTCAAGCAGCATTTGTCATACAAAAAACTATTTTCCATGTTTCTCTGGTCCCCTGCTGTTTATGTCCGCATCATATGTGGGTTTGTTCATTGAAAATTGGGATTGCATCTCTTTAAAATAGTTTCACAATGTTGAAGACTCTGACATCCCTTAGGCGTTCTTTGCTGTCTAGCATGAATTGTGAATACTTTTACTCAATGATAGTAGTTCAGTGCTTAGTAGACTTGTTATGGCGTATTGCCATGTATGCCTTTGTTGCACCAATTAGCTGATTCAGAATTTTTGTTCTCCTTTTGCTTTGTACAGCAAAACCAGGGAGAGTCGTTGGATCTGTCATACCATATGAGAATGGGAAAAATGTTAAAGATGGTTTCGATGCTAAGAGCCTTTACAGAAATGCGGTCCTTCCTCCACAGGATGTCTCCGCCCATTGTTTCCTTAGAACTAGCACCACAAATCAAGAGAAATCTGGAACACAGGCTGACAGGAATCCACAAACCAAGCTGCAACCTCAGTTTAGCATGGTGGCAAAATCAGCCCCTGGAATGGTTGTTGACCTTAACAGCAACCCCTATTACCGACCACGAACCAAGGCTGATAAATTACATGATAGATTACCCATTGATGCAAAAATACTGCAGGCGCAATCCCAGTTCGGTGCAGTTGGTGCTGCTGCTGTAGCTGTAGCTGCCCACAGGAATGTGGGTACAGTTCAGTATGGATTTTCTTAACTGGGATTTGCATCAGGGTGTGTTGATAATGGCGACAACGGTCTATTGAAGTGAGGTGAGGGTAGTGGGGGGGTAGTTCTCTGGTGCTGCTCTTTTCAAGTTTCTAATTTATGATGCTCTTCTGTAATTATATGTTGTATTATTGAATTTCATAAGTGAAATAAATTGCTGCTAATTCTTAGAAGACTCGGCCCAATGGAAATTCAACTAGATTGACACCAACATTTTGATTGGTATATTGAAGGGCAAATTCATTTACAAGATTAAGGGAAAACACTTCTGGAAGAAGCATTTCTCTTTAGGTGGAATGAACACAACTGAAAATGTGATGAATTTCAATAACGTAACATTTCTAACCACAACCTGCTTCTTCAAAATTATGTGTATATGGTAATTTGTGTATTTATGTTATATTTTATGTAAAAATTGCATGTTGTGTTAAAATCTTCGACCTTTTTCCCATTCTAAGTTGCCATCTCTTTTGTTAAAAAAAAAAAAAAATCCTGAAAGCTAACAGATTAATATTAATGGCCAAAAGTTGAAGTTTTCAAGCAACAATCTCAGGCATTAAAATTTGAAATTTTATGACTGGTAGATCGATACAAACATGAGGAATGGTTGTCAGCTGTTAACAGCTCCAGCTCGAGCAACTATCACATACGAGAGGTTTATACATATATTAAGGGTCAAATTCTTAAATTTTTTCCAAAAAATATTTATAATTATAATTCCTTAAAATATTGGTTCCTTTTGCATTATCTTATATATATATATATATATATATATATATGTATACATGAAGGAGAAAAAAACAAAACTTAATTCATGTTATACCAATCAGTAATATGCCCGGACCTTGCATATCCAAAATTTTTATTTATATCTAATAATGTTTATGATAAACTAAATAAATTAGAAAGTATAATTTTGTTTATAATTTTTTAATAAAAACAATAATCAATGAAAATTTATCAATTAATTTATAGATAATTATGCATTTTATTCTTATAACTCATATAACAAATCAAATTTATATCCACCCTTTTAAATTTATCTTTACAAATATAATTAAAAATATTAATATAAACAATTAAAAAACAAAAAAAATAAAAAATAAAAAAAAGAAACACCCAAGAAAACAAAAAAAGACTCGAATAGGAGTGTCACGTGGACACCTCCACTAAGAAATAACAACAGATCAAGTAAGGACGGGTTTACGCTCATCCTGATTCTAACCCAGTATCAAGTTTTTTTTATACATTTGATCCCGACCCAACATATATATATATATGTATGTATATATATATATATATATGTATGTACATATAACCTGCATTTCACTCAATTTAGACAAAAAATTTAATAGTATAACATTCAGGAAAATATTATTTTTTTATATAAATTACATTTTAATTTATATAAATATATTATTTTATTAAATTAATATATTAAATAGTAACTTCATTAATATAAAAAAATATATAAGTATAAAATTAAATAAATAATAAAATATATTCTTATATATGCCTAGGGATGGAGCATCCTAAATTTGTTTCTAATCCGACGTTGATTTTCAAAAAGGAAAAATCACCTCACATTGATCCGATTTTGATTTTAAAAAAATCAACTTTGTTGGATCTAGAGTTGATACTTGTTACATATAGATTATTTTGTCATTATAACCTTTATTGATCTCATTTTTACAAAATTTATCTCATTAAAAAAAAGGCAAAAGAAAAGGGGAAAGGGATAAAAAAGAGAAACAAAAGAGAAAAAAATGTGTCAAATGAAGGTGTCATATTTACACTTCAATTGCTCATTAATCTTTCCAAACATAGATAAGAAATATTAAAATAAATAATTAAAAAAAGCCAAAACAAAAAAAAAAACAAAGAAATGACTTAAGTAAAAAAAAAAACCAAATAGAAGTGCCACATGAATATTTTTATTTAAAGATGGCAACGGGTCGATTTTGCATAGATTTATACTTAGCTTGACTTTAATCTATTTTTTAATAATTCGACTTAACTCAAATTATGACCCGACATCGTGTTATTATTTTTTTATAGTTAATCTTAACTCGACACATAAATTTATAATCCACATTAATCCAAAATTAATTAAATTAATTAAATTTAGTATAATGTTTATAAAAAAATTTAATATAAATTATGAATAAATAAAATATTTTTATTAAATTAACGTATTTATATATATGAATATATCAAATGTATAAATATAGTATATATATAAATATAAAATTAAAATAAATAATAAAAAATATTTTTATATATACCTGAGGTGAGGTGAGGTGAGGTGGAACAACCTAAACACACCTCTGACCTGACTTCTATTTTTAAAAAGAAAAATCTTGAATTAGACAAAGGCACTTATTAGAATGGGAAGAATTGAAACACATCATATATAGATTGTTTGTCATCCCTACCTTTATTAACTTATTTTTTACAAAATTTATTTAATTAAAAAAATTTTTTTAAAAAAAGAAAATATCAAAAGATAAAAAAGAAAACTAACTAGGGTTGGCACAGACATTTTTATTGGCCTCTTTTCATATAACATTTAATTATAGATTAAAAAATACAAATTGAAAACACAAAGGGTTGACAAAAATTCGGATGTCATGTTAATACCTTTATTGGTATTTTTTAAAAAACTATTTAATTAAAAAATAAAAATATCAATTGGATCGAAAAAATATTTAAAACATAAAAAAATTATTAAATATGGAAAAACCAAAAAATAAAAACAAAAGATAAGATAAAAGGTAATGAATTTGTTAGCCTTGAATTGATTAAAAGTTTTAAATCGACAAAACAAAAATTTGCCTAACTTGAATCAAACTCTCATAATCTTAAATTTAACATTTTTCCAGCCTTCTATCTTGCCAAAATTTATATAAGAGACAAAACAAAACAAATTCTCGAAACTAAATGGATTAAAGCATGTTTTGGATAAAAATGATCGATCTCCTAAAAGAAGGGATCGATCCCCTCCCTTACTTAATCGTTTCCTTGGCTAAAGGGATCGATCCATTTTTCTTTCAATAGCTAAAGTCATGGGAATTCATCAAGAACTAATCAATCTTCTCCCTGTAGAGATTAATTGGTTGGGGTTTGAACTTACCTGATTGATCCCTCCCTTAAAAAGATCAATCTATTTTTTAAATAGAAAGCAAAATGGGGTTGAAAATCCACAAAAAGAATTGATCCCCCCATATAGGGGATCGATCACCCAAGCATGGGATTGATCAGGTATGTTACTTGGTCGATTAGGTAAGCTTTTTAAGGCACAAAATTGGGTTTCCACATAACTGACCCAATCGATCCCCTATATGAGAGGATCGATCCCCTGATGCCCATAAAGCCCCAACGATTATTTTTTTGTCTAATATTTTACAAATTTGAAGCATTAAATATAAGGTAATGACTATCAACTTCTTTCTATATATAAATGAAGGCTTCCACTGCAAATCAAGAGTATGAAAAGCTAAGAGAACTTATTGCCTTCACCAACCGTTTTGTTCAAGTATTCAAACCAATTTAAAAGAGTGAAAAGTGCAGAAAATCTTTCTTGTATCGATTTTTCTCTAAATTCTCTTGTCAATATTGCTTTGTACTTTAATCTAGCAAACACCCAACCTTAGAGAGGTTCTTTAAGTTTGCAAAACACTTCAAAAATTTTGTATTGTGATATTGTGAGCTTAAGGGGGAGGATAACCCTTAAGAGTTTGTGGTGTTGATTGTGTAAAACTTTGAGAAACTAGGTTGTAACTTTCAACACATAGTGGATTGAACTCCTTAACAAGTGAGATTAAGGAAGATGATGTAGATGCCTAAAAAAAAGACTGAATCTCTATAAATTTTGGTGTCTAATTCTCTATCTCTATCTTTTGTTTTTAAGATTGTTAGTTTACTTTCATTTATTGTGTTCATTAACTTAGATAAATTATTTTACAGAATTTGTGTTTATTAAGTATTGATATTTGAAAATTTTATTATCAACAAATTCACCCCTCTCTTGATTTATTTCAAGTCTTCGAGCTAATAGAATCATTAATAGATGATGGGTTGGTTTTTCTTAATTATTCAGTGATCCTTTCATGAGTGAATACATCAATCGTACCAACAATTAGCCTAAGAAATCAAGATGTAAATTAATTTTGTGTATTTGTTCTTTTACTTTCTAACTAGTTTGTGGTCCATGCAATGCACATTATTTTTATACATATAATTATACATATAAATAATATGCTTAATAAAAAATACAAAATTTATATATACATACATTCAACTAATATTTAAGAACATAAAACTTTTAAAATATTCAATGAGTAATATTGTTAAAGAAAAAAAGCGAACGTGTCTTATAAAATAAATTTAGATTAACTCAAGATTGTTTTATTAATTTTCTATTACTTATATTTATTTCAATTTAATATAAGCTATTTATTTTTTCAAAAAAATAAACTTATATGTTAGATTTATAATAATAATTTACTTTTTCATAATTATTAACCAAAATTAATAGATAAATGAAAATTCAGTTACAAAATTTAAATACATAAAAAATTTTATTTGAAAAACAATTTTCAAAAGATATAATATAATAATTTGAAAACTATATTATAAATATTAAAATTTTCATTGATTCTATTTTCATTGCTTTGCTTTCCTTTATTACGGGAGTAGTTGACAAAATATAAAATGAGTAATTATTACTAATTTAAATATTTTTAGTATAATTAGTTTTAATTTCGTTAATAGTCAACCTTTATTTTTTTTAACTAATTTGAATAAAAAATTATTTTTATTATTTAATCTAAATTACTCTCAGTAAAAATTCATATAAAAAATAATAAAACTTTAATTGACATAGTTAATAGCAAATTCTTTTCTTTTTCATAATAGCAAATTCATTTGTTGTAAATGCATATTTGTATATTACGAAAATAATGTTAAAAATAATTTATATCATGAATAGTTGATTTGGCTTTTTAATACCTTTTTTTTATTACAATTGAATTATATCAATTTAGATAATAAAAGATTTTATCACATAATATTTTTAAATATAGTAATAAATACAGTAATTAATTAAAAAGATAAATAAAAATCTTCCCTTTCTCTTTTTCTTTTTTATTGCACTAAAATAGATGGTACATTTTTTTTTTGGTCATTCAAGGGGGTAGAGCTCTACATTAAGCCTTACATTAAGGGAGAGGAGGGAAGGCTGCGGTTTGAACCCCAGTCATGATGTCTTCTTTAAGATTATCTTGATCACTAGGTCAATCAACTGAAAACGATGGTACATATTTATATATAAAAAATGCGTACTCAAAAAACAACAAATAAGAAGAAAACTATAAAAGATTAGACACATATTTGTATAAATATTTTAATAGAGAAATATATGAATTAAAACGTAGTCTTATTGAATTA